TGCCACCCACATGGGAGACCCAGATGGAGTTTTGGGCTCCTGGCTTCTACCTGGATAAGCCCCAGCCATTGAGGTCATTTGGACAGTGAACCAGAGGATGGGAGAACTCTTTCTCTTTCTGTCTCTCCCTCTCTCTGTAACTTTGCCTTTCAAATAAATAAAAAATTGTAAACAGGGCTCAACCTTTGCTTCCTGATAGCAAGAGGAGGTATTAGAATATATATATATTTAAGTTTATTTACTTTTATATACTTGAAAGGCAGAGCGAGAGTGAGCAAGAGAGAGAGAGAGAGATCTTCATCCCCTGGTTTGTTCCCCTAATACCTACAACAGCCAAGGCTGGGCTGGGCCAAAGCCAGGAACCTGAAACTCCATCCAGATTTCCCATGTCGGCAGCAGGGGATCTAAGCACTTGAGCTATCGTCTGCTGCCTCTCAGGATGCATCAGCAGGAAGCTAGATCAGAAACAGAGTAGTCGGATCCGGAACTGGCACCCTGACATGGAACAGATGTGGACGTCCCAAGGAGAGGGTTAGCTGCCTGTACCACAACACTTGCTCTAAAGCCAGGAGCCAAGAGCTTCTGGGTCTCCCACGTGGGTGCAGGGGCCCAAGAACTTGGACCATCTTCTGCTGTTTTCCCACTTGCATTCACAGGAAGCTGATAGGAAGTGAAGCAGCCGAGACTTGAACTAGCACCCATATGGGACGCCAGCCTTGCAGGTGGTGGCGTTACCCTCTACGCCACACAGCACTGGTTCTTGGAATTTTCCATTTAATATTTTATGTCACACTTTACTGCTGGTCCATAAAACCTCAGGAGGTGAAACCACAAGTAAAAGAGGACTGCTGAATATAAACTTACCATCAACACATCAGTACTTTCAGTATTTAACACTTTGCTAAAGGCTTCCTTCCCAGGTTGTTGTTTTTTCTTTCCTTTTTTTAAATGACTTATTTATTTGGAAAGCAAAGTTACAGAGAAACAGGGAGAAGAGAAAAAGTGAGAGACAGGGAGAGATTTTTCCATCTGCCAGTTTACTCTCAAATGGCTGCAACAGCCAGAACTGGGTCAGGCTGAAGTGAGGAGCCAAGAATTCTTTCCTGGTATCCCACATGGATAGCAGAGGTCCAAGTACTTGAACTATCTTTGGATGCCTTCCCAGGTGCAATAGCAGGAAGCTAGATTGTAAGTAGAACAGCTGGAGTCAAACTGGTACTTCAAAATGGGATGCTGGTGTCACGAGCAGTGGCTTAATCTGGTGGGTTACAACTCTGCTCCCTTCCCAGTTGTTGAAGCAAAGAGTTGATTGAATATGCAATAAGTGGCTGGTGTTGTGCAGCGGGTTAAGATGCTGCTTAGGATACATACCCACATACCATATCAGAGTGCCTAAGACCGAGTTCCACTTCCACTTCAGATCCAGCTTCCTGCTAATGTGCACCCCAGAAGGAAAAAGATGATGGTTTAAGTATGGGTCCCTGCTACCCAAGTTGGAGACCTGATGGATTTCCTTGTCCCTGAGTTTGGCCTGGCCTATTCCTAGCTGTTGTGGACATTTGGGGAGTGAAGCAGCAGATGAAACTTCTCTCTCTCCTTCTGTCACTCTGCCTTTAAAATAAATAAATCTTTAAATATGAAAGTCACTAGACTCAATTAAATTTCTAAAATATAAGAATCATTAAGAGTACTTCTCAGCAATTAAAACTATAGATGGGGCTGGCTCTGTGACTCAGTGAGTTAAAGCCCCAGACTGCAGCACCGGCGTCCCATATTGGTGCTGGTTCCAGTCCCGGCTGCTCCACTTCTGATCCTGCTCTCTCCTGTGGCCTGGGAAAGCAGTAGAAGATGGTCCAAGTCCTTGGGCCCCGGCACCCATGTGGGAGACCTGGAAGAAGTTCCTGGCTCCTAACTTTGGATCAGTTTAGCTCTGGCTGTTGTGGTCATCTGGGTAGTGAACCTCTGGCTCTACCTCTTTCTCTAACTCTGTCTTGCAAAGAAATAAATCTTAAAAAAACTATAGGTGCCTAATATCCAAGAAGAGATATATCCCAAGTATTTTTATAGAAGCAGGTATTTACATGGACTGGAGTAAAAGAAATTCTACCAGAGCAGAATCTACTGGAGGTAGAGACACACACACACACACACACACACACACAGAGAGAGAGAGAGAGAGAGAGAGAGAGAGAGAGAGGTCTTCCATGCATGATTCACATCCCAAATGGCCGCAATGGCCAGAGCTGAGCTGATCCAAAGCCAGGAGATTCTTCCTGGTCTTCCATGTGGGTGCAGAGGCCCAAGGACTTGGCCATCTTCTACTCCTTTCCCAGGTGCATTAGCAGGGAGCTGGATAGGAAGTGGAGCAGCTGGGACTCAAACTGGCACCCATATGGGAATGGTGGTACTACAGGCTGGAACTTAAACACTGTGACACAGTGCTGGCCCCCATAATGCATGAGTTTTATATTGCATGATGTAGTAGTCAACTTTTCGTTACTTTAACTAAAATACTTCAGAGGACCTTTTGGAAAGGAAAAGGTTTATTTTGGTTTACAGTTTAGAAGTTCACAGTTTAAGATTGAGTTACTCTACTTAGGAGAACTGGATGAAGCTCCTGGCTCCTGGTTTTGGCCTGGTCCAGTCCTGTCTACTGTGGCCCTCTGGGGAGGGAACCAGATGGAAGGTCTCTATATCTCTCCCTCTCTGTAACTCTGACTTTCAAAAAAAAAAAAATCCTTAAAAGAAAAAAAGATTGGTGTCACTGTTAGTCTGGTATCTGGTGGAGGCTGGCAGTGGTGGAGAGTGAGCAGATTAATGATAATATGGTGAGCCAGAAAACAGAGAGAGATGCAAGACCCAGTTTATGTAAGTAACCATCTTAAGGGAATCATGTTCTGAGGGAACGTTCCACCAGGCTCATATATTAGGTCATAATTAGATCAAGCCTCTACCTTTGATCCATTGGCTGTTAGCATAAAAGACTTCAGGAATGACATATCCTCATGAGATTCAAAAATAATCTCAATTCCTTCTAAACTGTCCACATCATATAAACCACCTGCCCTTTAGTCAATGCCCCACATTTAAATAGTTTTAGTAGATGGTCTTGGGGCTAGTGTTTGGGATCTGCTTTCGTAGGAGTGCCTGGTTCCAGCCAATATACGCCTGGAAAACAGTAGATGATCCCTTAGGTGCTTGGATCCCTGCTACTCATGAGAGAGACCTCTTTGTATTCTGGGCTTCAGCCTGGGCTAGCCCTGGCTGTTGGGACTATTTGAGGAGTGAACTAGTAGATGGAATATCTCTATCTTTCTGTCTCTCTCTCCTACAAATAAAATGAAAATAAATAAAAATTCAATTAAAAAGTTATTTACTTGTTTAACAGTTTTCTTATGTAAATGAATAACACACATGACCTGGATCAGTCTGAGAAACCTGCCTTCATTTTTCCAGGTAGAGTTGATCATCTTCAAGGCAGTTTCTGGACTTTGAAATATATATATATATATATATATATATATATATATATATATTTAAATATATATATATATTTAAACATTTTTACAGTAGAATGTATTTCAGTTACTATTATTTTTAGGTTACTGTAGTTCACTATAATTTGTTGTAATTACAAATATAGTTGACTGTATTATAGCCGTTCTTGCTGCCATATCTTAATAAGTAAAAGTTTATTTTTTGAAAGGCAGAGTGACAGAGAAGGAGCTTTTTTTTTTTTAAGGTTTGTTTGTTTTATTCAGAAGGCAGAGTTACAGAGAGAGAGGGAGAGACAGAGACTGAGAGATCTTCTGTTCACTAGTTTACTCCCCCGATGGCTGCTATAGCTGGAGCTCAGCCAGGCTGAAGTCAGGAGCTAGGAGCTTCTTCCCGGTCTCCCACTTGGGTGCATGGGCCCAAGCTCCTGGACCATCTTCTTTTGCTTTCCCTGGCCTTTAGCAAGGAAATAGATTGAAGTGGAGCAGCCAGGACTTGAACTGGCACCCATGTGGTATGTAGTGCCGCAGAGGCTTAACCTACATTGCCACAGTGCTGGCTTCAGAGGTTTTGTTTTTTGTTTGTTTTTAAAGATTGATTTATTTGCTTGAAAGGCAGAGTTGCAGAGAGAGAGAAAAAGAAAAAAAAAAAAAAACACAGAGGAAGAGAGAGAAAGAGATCTTCCATCTGCTGCTTTACTCCCCAATGGCTGTAACAGCTGGGGTGGGCCAGACTAAAGCCAGAAGCCTGGAACTCCATCTGGATATTCCACATAGGTGGCAGGGGCCCAAACTCTTGGTCCATCTTCTACTGCTTTTCAGGTGTGTTAGCAAGGAGCTGGGTTGGAAATGGAGCAGTGAGGACTCGAATCAGCACCCATATGGGATGACAGCCACTTGTAGGTGGTGGCTTAACCTGCTGAACCATGACAGAGATCCTTGAAAAAGATTTATCTGCTGGTTCACTCCACAATTGATCACAACCTCTGGGGCTAGGCCAGACTGAAATCAGAAGCCAGGAGCCAGGAGCTCCATCCTGGTCTCCCATGTGGGTAGCAGGGGCCCAAGTACTTGAACCATCTTCTGCTGTTCTCTCAGGTGCATTAGTAGGAAGCTGGATCAGGAGCAAAGCAACCAAGTACTTGGGCCATTTTCTGCCGCTTTTCCAGGTTCATTAGCAGGAAGGCAGATGAGAAGCAGAGCAGCCAGACTTGAACTGGCACCCCAATTTGGTATGCCAGTATTGAAAGCTGCAGCATAAACTACACTGGCATGCTGGCCCCAGGTTTTATATTTTTATATGAGGTATACTTATATAATTTGGATATGTGTTATCTTTTAAGTAAGTTTATTATAGAACATTTACTATTTATGTAATTTCTATGGCAAAATTATATCATGAATGATAGCATAGTAATCTTTGTTGGTGATTGCAAGGACAATTTGAATTTAGATAGTTTTCTGCATCTTAATAGTATTTTTCTTCTTAAATCTTTCTTAAAATAGGAGTATTTTCTGCATTGCGTGCTGTTCCCCAAAAGGAAGGATTCCTGGGATTGTATAAAGGAAATGGTGCCATGATGATTCGAATCTTTCCCTATGGCGCAATCCAGTTCATGGCATTTGAGCATTATAAAACAGTGGGTGAACTTTTCTGTTTCTGTCTCTTTCTTTCTTTCTTTTTTTTTTTTAAATATGATGCTGATTTACCAGGCATCTCCTCTGAACTTTAAAGATACTTTGAATAAATGAATAAAGTAATGGCTTCGTTAAGGAGTAAGATTTGAAGGAGCTTAAATTTTTAGTATAGTTTGGGTTTTAGAGTTACTTATTCCAAAATCGTTAGTCATTCGTGAGTAAATGTTTTTTGTTCATGCTTAGGAAAAAAAGACAAAATATATTTCAATAAGATAAAGATAAATACATAAAATATAAATTTTTTTAAGATTTATTTGAAAGTCAGAGTTACACAGTAACAGAAGGAGAGGCAGAGAGAGAGGTCTTCCATCCACTAGTTCACTCCCCAAATGACCACAATGGATATCCCTAGTGGAAAAGAATTCTTGTGAACCCCCTTTTTTTTTTTTTGGCCTTTCATTTGCCCAAAAAAATTTTTTTTTTGGGGCGAGAATCTTTTTTTTTAAAAAAAGGGGGGTTTTTTTTCCCTTCCCTTTTTTTTTCTTTTCTTTTTTTTTTTTTTTTTTACAGGCAGAAGTGGGACAATGGGGGGGAGAGAGAGACAGAGATAAAGGTCTTCCTTTTGCCGTTGGTTCACCCTCCAATGGCCACCGCGGCCGGCGCGCTGCGGCCGGCGCACCGCGCTGATCTGATGGCAGGAGCCAGGAGCCAGGTGCTTTTCCTGGTCTCCCATGGGGTGCAGGGCCCAAGCACCTGGGCCATCCTCCACTGCACTCCCTGGCCACAGCAGAGAGCTGGCCTGGAAGAGGGGCAACCGGGACAGAATCCGGCGCCCCGACCAGGACTAGAACCCGGTGTGCCGGTGCCGCTAGACAGAGGATTAGCCTAGTGAGCCGCGGCGCCGGCTGAGCCAGGAGTTTCTTTCTTCAGATCTCCTATGCAGATGCAGGGGCCCAAGGACTCTGACCATCTTCTACTGCTTTCCCAGGCCACAGCAGAGAGCTGGATTGGAAGTGGAGCAACCGGGACTCGAACTGGTGCCCATTTGGCATGCTGGCACTGCAGGTGGCAGCTTTACCTGCCATGCACAGTACTGGCCCCTCAATTGCTTTTATTATTTTTTTAAATATTTATTTATTTATTTGAAAAGCAGAGTCACAGAGAGGCTCTAGAGGTAGAGAGGGAGAGAGAAGTCTTCCATGTGCTGGTTCACTCCCCCAGATGGCTGCACTGCCCAGAGCTGAGCCAATTTGAAGCCAGGAGCTTTTTCTGGGTCTCCCACGCGGGTGCAGGGGCCAAAAGACTTGGGCCATCCTCCACTGCTTTTCAAGGCTGTAGCAGAGAGCTGGGTCGGAAGTGGAGCAGCTGAGACTTGAACTGGTGCCCATATGGGATGCCGGCGCTTCAGGTAGTGTCTTTACCCTGTGACACCACAGCACCAGCCCCCTCAGCTGCATTCATTCATGTATGTCCTCGACAGAGTGGACAGTGAGAGAGAGAGACAGAGAGAAAGGTCTAACTTTTGCCGTTGGTTCACCCCCCAGTGGCCGCTGCAGCCGGCACGCTGCGGCCGGCGCATCGCGCTGATCTGAAGCCATGAGCCAGGTGCTTCCTCGTGGTCTCTCATGTGGGTGCAGGGCCCAAGCACCTGGGCCATCCTCCACTGCACTCCTGGGCCACAGCAGAGAGCTGTGCTGGAAGAGGAGCTACCAGGACAGAATCCAGCGCCCCGACCGGGACTAGAACCCGGTGTGCCGGCGCCGCAGGCGCAGGATTAGCCTATTGAACTGTGGCGCCGGCCCCTCAACTGCTTTTTAATACTCCTTGTTTCTCAATTTTAGGAAAGGAACACTGTGTCTTTTGTTTTGCTTATTATTATTATTTTTGAAAGGCAGAGTAGACAGTGGGAGAGAGAGAGACAGAGAGAAAGGTCTTCCTTTTGCTGTTGGTTCACCCTCCAATGGCCGCCGCGGCCGGTGCACTGCGGCCGGCGCATCGCGCTGATCCGAAGCCAGGAGCTAGGTGCTTCTCCTGGTCTCCCATGGGGTGCAGGGCCCAAGCCCTTGGGCCATCCTCCACTGCACTCCCTGGCCACAGCAGAGAGCTGGCCTGGAAGAGGGGCAATCGGGACAGAATCCGGCACCCCGACCGGGACAAGAACCTGGTGTGCCGGCGCCGCTAGGCGGAGGATTAGCCTATTGAGCCGCGGCGCCGGCCTTGTTTTGCTTATTAAATGAAATTGTGAGATCATATTGTAAAAGTATATTTTGGAGTAATATAATAGCTATTCCTAACCAACTTATTAAGTTTCCTTCTGTTCCTGAGTGAGTTTATCCCCTCAAACATTATCTTTTTTCTTTTTAAAGATTCTTTTTTTTTTTTTTTTTTTAATTTAAAGAGAGAGACCAACAGAGGGAGTGACAGAGGAAGATTGAGAGAGAAAGATCTTCATGTGCTGGTTCACTCCCCAAATGCCTTTTAACAGCTTGAGCTGAGCCAGGCTGAAGCTAGGAGCCAGCAGCTTTACCTGGGTGTTCCACATGGGTGGCAAGAAGCCAACTACTTGGGCTATCTTCTGTGGCCTTTCTAGGGGTAGTTTCAGTAAGCTGTGTCAGAAGCAGTATATCCCGATCTCAGAGCTGCACTCTCATGTGGGATGCAGGTGTTGTAAGCCAGGGCTTAACCCACTGTGCCAAAACACCTGCCCCTCTGACATTATCTTAACACAAGAACTAGGAACTGTAAGTTTCAAAGGGTGTCTTAAGAATGAAACCTAAATGATAGGGGTGTGAACAGCTTTTAAAGCTAGGCATTAAGAGTTGATGCCATTAGTATATCAAGACTTCGTTGTTGCATTCCTGTAGTAGCATCTTACTCCTACTATGCCCACTCACAACCTTTCAGGTTTGTGCTCAGTAATATATAGTATTATGTATTTCCTATTTTACAGTTCTAAGCTAGATTGCTTGTGCAAAAGGACAAAGAATAGAATGGTGACAACAGAGGAAAGACCTTGTTCGGATGTAATACAATACTGCCCAGATTTGTATAATTGTGCTCATTTCGTTAACTTTATTAAGTTGCTTTTTACTAGTCTAGCAACCCTTTTGAAGTTAGTCATCATTATTAAACAGTGAACGGGCAGCATTTAAAAAATACCTTGTTTAATTCAGTGTTTTCGATTTCTAGTTAATTACTACAAAGCTGGGAGTTTCTGGTCATGTGCACAGATTACTGGCTGGATCTATGGCAGGTAAGAGGAATAGGTATATTTTGCTTCTGACATTGATTTTATTTTATTTTTTTCAGATTTATTTTATTTATTAGAAAATCAGAGTTAAAGAGAGAGAAGGTGAGAAGGAGAGACAGAGATCTACTATCTGCTGGTTCATTCCCTAAGTGGTTGCAGTGGCCAGGCTGAAGCCAGGAGCTTTATTCTGATCTCCAACACGGGTTTGGGGGCCCAAGGACTTGGGTCATCCTCTACTGCTTTCCGAGGCCATTAGCAGGGAGCTGGATCAGAAGTGGAGCAGCTGGAACTCAAACTGGTGCCCATGTGGTATTCAGTGTTGCAGGCAGCAGCTTAACCTGTTCTACCACATTGCCAGCCCCTCTGACATTGATTTTCTATGGAAATACTTAATTTGGTTTAGGTAATATGTGTGACATTGACTACATAGCACGCCACACATTTGTTATCTTTCTGTTCTTAGTCATACTTGTACAAGAAATCATTAATATCCCAACTTAAAAAGTATTTTACAGTGGATCGTAAGGAATAGTCTAAATATATGGCTATATGAAAAGCATACAGTGCTTTTGACAATTCTACTTGTGGAAATTTGTCTTTTTTCTCTGAGAAAATTTTCTTTAGATTTATTTATTTGAAAGATAGAGTGACAACATGAGGGACAGACAGAAAGAACGTGATCTTCCGTCTCTTGGTTCATTCCCCAGATGGCCTCAACAGTTAGGGCTGAGTCAAGCCGAGCCAGGAGCCTGGAGCTCCATCCAGATCCCCCACATGAGTGGCAGGGGCACAAGGACTTGGCCATCTTCCACTGCTTTCCCAGGCACATGAGTAGGAAGCTGGATCAGCAGCAAAGCAGGCAGGACTTGAGCTGTCACTCATACGGGATGCAGTGCTTTAGCCTGCTGTGCCACAGTGCTTGCCCTTGCCAAATTATTGTTTACATTTAAGTTTCTACTTTGTTTTTAGGTATGACTGCAGTTATCTGTACATACCCTCTTGATATGGTGAGAGTACGCCTAGCATTCCAGGTGAAAGGAGAACATACTTATAAAGGAATTATTCATGCATTCAAAACAATTTATGCAAAGGTATATATTATGTTTGCTTTTCTCATTTATAACATGTCATTTTATATTTAGGAAAATATTCTAAATTTTTTTCTAAGTGATTATTCTCTTAGTTATAACTATTGATATTGATAATAATTATGAAAATGTATCTTTGTGTTTCGGAGGGTGGTTTCCAGAATATTGATTTCATGATAATGTGTACATTTGTTCTTTGATGTTTATCATAATGAACATAGTGTAATCTCACTTCAAATTTTCCTTCACTTGAAAGGAAGGTGGTTTCCTTGGATTTTACAGAGGTCTCATGCCTACCTTATTAGGAATGGCTCCATATGCAGGTATGTTTCAAATTGAGCAGAATTGTAATTGTGTGTACATTTAAAGAATGTCACCAGTTTTCTTCTGAAATGGTTACATGAAAAGATGCTATCTGGAAAGTACTTTTACTCAAGAAATTTTGAAAATTATGGTCTGTATGTGGTCAATAATATATATGTGAATATAACTATTAACATATAATGAATAGAAATACACTTTTACATATTTTCCTTCATATATGAGCCAGTTGTGGTGTTGCGTTTATACATACTCAGGTTAGATGAATGCTAAGGATTCAGTATTTTTGAGTGTGTTAATTAGAAATAAGAATTAAGAAGTGTATTTTTCCTCAAACAGGAAAAAGATTTTCCTATAAATAGTGAATATTTTCATAATGTGAAGTTAGGAAATAAAGAAAAATATAAACAAAAAAAATAAGGATTCTTATCATCCTGCAGTCAGTCTCCATGGATATCTTGTTTACATTCCTGTTTTTTTTAACTATTCATTTTGAGATAATTTTGAATATACATCCATTTATAAAAAATAATACATTGAGATTTAATGCTATAATGAGTACTCAAACAATATATTTCACTTTGTGTTTCTGTGGGGGTGCAAACTGTTGAAATCCTTACTTAATGCATACTAAACTGATCCTCTGTAAAAAAAAAAAAAAAAAAAAAAGAAATTATCAATTCCCAACTTGACTCTCACTGGGATTAAACATGACAATAGGTCTAATCTGATTTCATCATCATTTAAAAAAATCATCTATTATTTTTCACTTTATGTTTCTGTGTGGGAGCAAACTGTTGAAATCCATACTTAATGTATACTAAGCTGATCTTCTGTATATTAAGATAATCGAAAATGAATCTTGATGTGAATGGAAGGGGAGAGGGAGTGGGAAAGGGGAGGGTTGTGGGTGGGAGGGACGGTATGGGGGGGAAGCCATTGTAATCCATAGGTCGTACTTTGGAGATTTATATGCATTAAATAAAAGTTTAAAAAAAAAATAATACAGAGGAGATTGGATTAAGATTGCGGAGCAGGGAGGGAGCTTACTGCTCTAATCCACGAAAAGATAGTTTAAAAAAGTGGAAAGAGTGCAGTCTCAGGGAAGAGTTAGAGAAAACAGCAGAAGAAACTACACAAATTAGAGGGACACAGTGCACCTACACGGAGGACGTGGACATGCACAACTCAGGACCCCAGCAGCCAAGAGCCTCCACACCAGTGTTGGAGAATGAGGTGAGACCAAGCCACTGGTGAAAAAGCTGCAGGAAGAGCCTAGAGAGAATCTGGCTTGGAGCCCCATGAAGGATAGTGTACCTGCCAAACTAGAGGAGAAAACACAAACGGGGGCACGTTTCTCTCTCCCCAGTCAACCTGCAACAACATCCTGTAACAAGCTTATAACAGGCACCACTTTGGACATATATAACAGCTGTGTCAGTTTATGTCTACACCCAGCAACCAGCCAAGCAGAGACTCCTGAGTCTGGGTGCTCATGACTGTGGCTTTGTTTTTGTTGTATAAGATTGCTGTAGCTATTTGAGGTCTTTTGTGTTTCCGTATAAATTTCAGCATCATTTTTTCTATATCTGAGAAGAATGTCTTTGGTATTTTGATTGGTATCACATTGAATCTGTAAATTGCTTTTGGAAGAATGGACATTTTTGATGACGCTGTTTCTTCCAATCCATGAACATGGATGATTTTTCCATTTTTTTGAATCTTCTTCTATTACTTTCTTTAATGTTTTCTAATTCTCATCATAGAGATCTTCGACATGCTTGGGTAAATTTATTCCAAGGTATTTGATTTTTTTTGTAGCTATTGTGAATAGGATTGATCTTAGAAGTTCTTTCTCAGCTGTGGTATTGTCTGTGTATACAAAGGCTGTTGGTTTTTGTGTACTGATTTTATATCCTTCTACTTTACCAAACTCTTCTGTGAGTTCCAGTAGTCTCTTCGTGGAGTTTTTTGGATCTCAAGACATACTACAAGGCAGTTATAATCAAAGCAGCCTGATAGTGCTACAAAAACAAATGGATAGACCAATGGAACAGAATGGGGATGCTAGAAATCAATCCAAGCATCTACAACCAATTTATTTGGCCAAGGAGCTAAAACCAATCCCTGGAGCAAGGACAGTCTCTTCAATAAATGTTGCTGGGAAAACTGGATTTCCACATGCAGAAGTATGAAGTAGGACTCCTAACTTACACCTTACAAAAATCCATTCAAAATGGATTAAAGACCTAAATCTATGACCTGATACCATCAGATTATTAGAGAATGTTAGGGAAACGCTGCAAGACATTGGCACAGGCAAAGAGTTCTTGAAAAAAAAAAAAAAACCCAGAGGTACAGGCAATAAAAGCCAAAATTGACAAATTTTTTGGATTCCACCAAATTGAGAAGCTTCTGTATGGCTAAATTAACACTCAGGAAAGTTAAGAGGCAACTGACAGAATACAGGGAATTATTTGCAAACTATGCAACTGATAAAAGATTAATAACCAGAATCTACAAAGAGATCAATAAATGCCACAACAACAAAACAAACAACCCAGTTAAGAAATGGGCAAAGGACTTAAACAAACATTTTTCAGAGGAGGAAATCCAAATGGCCAATAGACACATGAAAAAAGTTTGGGATCACTAGAAATGCAAATCAAAACCACAATGACGTTTCACCAACCCCAGTTAGAGTGGCTTAAAATAAATCAACAAACAACAAATGCTGGCCAGGATGTGGGGAAACAGGTACCCTAATCCACTGTTTATGGGAATGTAAACTGGTACAGCCACTATGGAAGAGAGTATGGAGATACCTCAGAAATCTGATTATAGCCCTGCCATATGACCTAGCCATTCCACTCCTGGGAATTTACCCAAGGGAAATGAAATTAGCAAATAAAGGAGTTATCTGACCCCCATGTTTATTTCAGCTCTATTCACAATAGCTAAGACATGGAATCAACCTAAATGTCCATCAACTGAAGACTGGGTAAAGAAACTATGTGATATATACACTATGGAATACTACAAAGTGGTAGAAAAAATGAAACCTGATCATTTGCAACAAAATGGAGATATCTGAAAAACATCACATTTAGTGAAATAAACCAGTCCTAAAGGGACAAATATCATATGTCCTCCCTGATATGTGATAAAAGAGCACCTAGAAGGAAATCTGTAGAAGGGAAATTGACACTTTGAGAAACAATTACTTGAACAGCCCTTGTCTCAGCTGTTTATAAACTTTTTTTTTCTTTTTCATACTATTTGTTGAATTCCCTTCTTAACATAGAGTTAATCATATGTGAATAAGAGAGGGAGAAGAAAGTTTGTAATTGTAAAATAGCATAGTTCTGCATACATTCCCTCATATGTCTAAGGATACTGTTTAAAAACTTGCCATGGGACCCCAAATCCCATTAAGCTGGGTGGTAAAAATGCCATCTTAAGTGTTAAAGTGATCGTATAGATAGGATTAAGTGTTAAAGGGATCATATAAATAAGATCAAATGTTTGGCAATAATAATAAATAGAGTTAAAGGAGAGAATGCTCCAACATGGAGAGCAGTCCATACAGCAGACTCATAGAATGACAATTGCTTTAAATAGCACTCTGACCTCAGAACAGCCCTTAAGACATTCTGGCCTGGTTGAAAAGCCCATGAGAGAATTTCAGGCATGGAAAGCCAAGACACTGCAGCAAAAAATGTCCTACATGAAGGATCTCTGTGAGTGAGATTCCAGTGGAAAGAAGCAGCCATCAAAGAAGGATGTGCTTGTCCCTGAAGGGAGGAGAAAACTTCCACTTTGCTTAAGGCCTTGTGTAAATACTAACAGAAATTGTGCATTCAAAAGGCTCCCATAGCCTTTGCAGCTCATGTCAAGAGCCTTGGGTGATTATTGATGTCATACATAAGATTGTTAATTGTTAAATTAACAATAGGAGTCACTGTGCTCTTACTTACCATGCAGAACCTCTGTCCTCAATGAGTTGTATTATGAGAGTTAACTGTAAAACTTGTTCTCAAACAGTTTTTCCTTTTGTGTGTGTGTGCGAACTTAGTATAGAGTTGGTCTTCTGTGTATAAAGTTAATTGAAAATGAATCTTAATGGAGAATGGGAATGGGAGAGGGAGGAGGGGGTTGGGTGGGAGTGGGGGTGGGAGGGTGGGTTTGGTGGGAAAAATCACTATATTCCTAAAGTTGTACTTATGAAATTTATACTCATTAAATTAAAGGTTTATTTGGGGAGAAAATAATAATACAGAGATTCCCTTATACCGTTTACCCAGTTTCTGCAGTAATAATGTCTTCCAAAACTGTAGTACAAACTCACAACAAGGATACTGACATGAATATAGTTAAGATACAAGATAGGTCCATCACCCAAGCATGCATCCTGCTGACTGTCACAGGCACTTCCTCCCCATCCCCTTCCCTAACTCTTGGCAAGTGCTGATCTGTTTTTTCAGTTCTATATATAATGCTTCACTTCAAGAGTTTATATAAATGGGCCGGCGCCGCAGCTCATTTGGATAATTCTCCGCCTGCGGCACCGGCACCCTAGGTTCTAGTCCCTGTTGGGGCGCCAGATTCTGTCCCGGTTGCTCCTCTTCCAGTCCAGTTCTCTGATGTGGCCCGGGAAGGCAGTGGAGGATGACCCAAGTCCTTGGCCCTGCACCTGCATGGAAGACCAGGAAGAGGCACCTGGCTCCTGGCTTCGGATTGGTGCAGTGCGCTGGCTGCAGCACGCCGGCCACAGCAGCCATTTGGGGGGTGAACCAACGGGAAAGGAAGACCTTTCTCTCTGTCTCTCTCTCTCACTGTCTAACTCTGCCTGTCAAAAAAAAAAAAAAAGTTTATATAAATGGTATCATACAGTATGTGACCTTTGGGGGATTGGCTCTTTTTCCACTCACCATTAAGCCCCGAGGATTCATCCATGTAGTTTATGTCAATGGTTTGTTCTTTTTTTATTGCTTAGTTTTTT